GGGGGGAAAGTGTTTCGCTCTAAGAAAATTATTCTTATATAGATTTGGATAACCAAAAGATGGATTCTTCATAAAAGCTCTAAATCAACATGTATGTAATTCACAATAAGTCATAAATTACTTTTTCTGAATTAGAAAGAAATGGTTGAGTAATTAGTGTGCACCTTCTCTATATTAAATTAAAAATGTTGATGCAACAGACACACAAGTTGGGAAATGTACAGTTTAATTTCTTCCACACAACTCAAGCACATTACACATATACATTTTAAGGCAGAAAACACTGCTCTACAGCCAAAATGCTTCTGAAATAAATGTAGTCAAACTTTACTAATTCTGGGTCACTGAGAACGAAAATGATGCTTAAAATTGTTGATTGGCTCTAGTTTTCAAGATATGCTATTGGGTCAGTATATACGACCCTTGACTTGGGAATGGCGGAGGATAAGTGAGTTATAAAGGGAAGGGATCTCAATTTAAACCAAAAATGACTAAAATACATCTTTGACTGGATCTATGAATAAATCTATGACTGGGTTTGGACAGTACTTGCTTTTTAGGCAAAACAATGAATGATGCAATCTGAAGCTGGTATTGCGTCATACATGATATGAATTGCATCATGTTATTCCTAGAAGTCATGGATGATGCAATCATAATGAAGCTTACATCACTCTGCTGAACAAATTGCCCTATATCAGCTCTAGAAATCATACAGTGTCGTGCTCTCTTCTTTGTCAGTGTTTGATTTTGCAAAGGGACACATTTCTGTTTAGCCAAAGTGAGCAGAGATGCCTCGTACTTGTGTGAACGGTGCAGATAACTTCTGCTATGTTTGTGGTGAAGTGACTTTTGCATCACAAAAGCACAGTATAACCACTATGGTTAAGAAAGCCTATCACCTTTATTTTGGCTGCAAAATTGGAGATCAGGACAAGAGGTGGGCCCCACACATACACTGCAACACTTGTGCAACAAATCTTCGCCAGTGGTTGAACAGGAAAAGGAAATCTATGCCTTTTGCAGTGCCAATGATTTGGAGAGAGCCAACAGATCATACCAGCAATTGTTACTTCTGCATGGTGCCTCCAGTTGGGAAAGGTGTGTCAAAGAAGAAAAAGTGGACTGTGCATTATTCAAACATTCCATCAGCTATATGCCCAGTACCCCACGGAGAAGGACTGCCGGTTCCTGATGCACCAGAATCATTCTCACTTGAGTCAGATGAGGAAGAGGAAGAGGATGAAACTTCTGGTCCCGAACCATCAATGTCACAGGACCCACATTTTCTCCCATCCTCCTCCTCTGAACCACACCTCATAACACAAGGTGAACTGAATGACCTTGTCAGGGATTTGGAACTACCCAAGAGTAAGGCAGAGTTGTTGGGCTCCAGACTACAGCAGTGGAATCTCCTGGCAGGTGATGTTAGGGTTTCCATGTTCCGTGACCGTCAAAAGGATCTTGTCCCATTCTTCTTCATGGAAGGTGATCTTGTAGCAAGAACATCGATGGTGTGATGGCAGCCCTCAACATCGTTCACGATCCAGATGAGTGGAGACTGTTCATTGATTCATCGAAGACGAGTCTTAAAGCTGTTTTACTGCATAATGGCGATGTTTTGCCATCAATTCCAGTTGGTCATGCAGTCCATATGAAGGAAACCTATGACAACATGAAACAACTTTTGAGGTGCATAAACTATGACCAACATCAGTGGCAGCTTTGTGGCGATTTGAAGGTTGTTGCTCTCTTGCTTGGTCTGCAGACTGGGTACACAAAGTACTGCTGTTTTCTCTGCGAATGGGATAGTCGTGCAAGAGATTCCCACTACATCAAGAAAGATTGGCCACTCCGACAGTCATTGGAGCCTGGGAGGAAAAGTGTTCAGCATCCACCACTTGTTGAATCAAGGAAGATTTTGTTACCACCCTTACACATCAAGCTGGGTCTGATGAAGAACTTTGTCAAGGCCATTGACAAAACACAAGCAGCTTTCAAGAACCTCCGTGGAAAATTTCCAAGGTTAAGTGGAGCTAAGATAAAGGAAGGTGTCTTTGTTGGTCCTCAGATTCGTGAACTTCTTCGAGATGATGCATTTGACCATGCACTGCGTGGCAAGGAAAAGACAGCATGGAAAGCCTTCCAGTTAGTGGCAATAAATTTTCTCGGAAACAATAAGGCAGACAACTACAGGTTGTTGGTGGAAAACCTCCTCAAGGCATACAAAAGCCTTGGTTGCAACATGTCACTAAAGATACATTTTTTGCACTCTCATCTAGATTTTTTCCACCGAACTGCGGAGCAATGAGCGACGAGCACGGCGAGCGATTTCACCAGGACATTGCAACAATGGAGAAACGCTATCAGGGCAAATGGAGCCCATCAATGCTTGCAGACTATTGCTGGACAGTGACAAGAGCTGCTCCATTTAATGAATACAAGAGACAAGCCAAGAAGCGCCGAGTAGACACTGAATAGGACTAAACTATGTACAGAATAGTTTTTTGCCTTTTGTTTCATAATAAATTTTATTTATAACACCCTTTGGCTGATTTTTAAAGTGTTACATAAACAGGACAGGTGAAATATTATCATGTAAAGCAACCATAAACACATGAAAAGACCTAGGTTTACAATTTATGATTAAAACTCTACTATCTACACAATATACATAGACATAAAATGTAAAAACTTAAATATCTTAGAAACAATAGCCAATCAGTTGTTTTAATTGTCATATTTGAATTCAGCACATCAAAATACATAATAAATAGCACATTTTATCTCTGAAGCAGACGACTTCTCAAAAATTGTAGACCAGTGAAACCTATCACCATTTAAAATGCAATTGGACCAGGTTACAGTTGGTCTGTGAATCATCCTGAGATTTGTGCTTGTAATATTTCAACTAAATGTTGAACTAATGTTTTGCATTTCGCATGGGAGGAAGAATAACTGTTAAGGTTCAGAATTGAAGAAGACCTGTGTTCTACTTCATTACAGGTACAGATTTCCTATGAGATTTTGGTAAGGCATTTAAGGGCACATCCTGATCACACTGAAATCAAAGGGATTTCACACTTAGCCTTTGTCTACACTAGCAGTTTCATCAGCAAAACTTTTGTTGGTCAGGGTGTGGAGGAAAAAAAAACAAACTGACCAACATGAGTTTCACCGACAAAAGCGCTAGTGTGGACAGCACTATGTCAGTGGGAGAATAACTCCCACCGACATAGCTACCGCTGCTCGTTGGGGGTGGTTTAATTATGCCGGTGGGAGAGCTCTCTCCCACAGTCATAGAGCAACTATACAGGAAACCTTACAGAGGCACACCTGCAGCAGTACAGCTGTGCCACTGTAAGGTCTGTAGTGTAAACGTGGCCTCTGGGTTTGATTCTGCAAGATGCTAAGTACATCCTGAGCTGGTGATTACCTTCTACTCCCAGGGAAGCGATGGAGGTTTCTCAGCACCACACAGATGGCACTCAAAACTTGCAAGATCAGGTATTTAATCTCTTTGACTCAGTTTATTTGTAAGAAAACAGGGATAACATCCCATACTGTACTTCACAGAATATTGTGAAGTTAAATTCATTACAGTTGTAAATAGTTTTGAGATAGCACATTTTGCCTAACTGCAATGTACAGTACATTTTATACTTTTAAATAGAAAGCATTAAACTTTAAAGCTACATAAAAATGCATTTATGTTAAGGATTTGTGTCTCAAATTCCCCCCATCCACCAGACTCAAGAGCCCAGATTTATACTTCTGACACAGCCCTGAAAGGCGAGTTGATGCATGCGACAGTCAAGTGTGAAGGCAAAAGAGAAAATGGTCATAATAGGTGACTAGAATTTAGCAGACATGGAAGGGGCCTGCTGTCTCCTCTTCCCCAAGATGTCAAATTGAGCTTCTCAATTTGGGGAGAAATTGAGCTTTTCAATTTGGGGGAGGGATAGCTCAGTGGTTTGAGCATTGGCCTGCTAAACCCAGGGTTGTGAGTTCAATCCTCAAGGGGGCCACTTAGGGATCTGGGGCAAAATCAGTACTTGGTCCTACTATTGACGGCAGGGGGCTGGACTCGATGACATTTCAAGGTCCCTTCCAGTTCTAGGAGATAGGATATCGCCATTAATTTTTTCTTCTACAGCACAGGAAAGCCTAATGTGAGCCAAACGCACGCCCTGTGGTTAAGCCGCAGGCAGTGATTGTGCACCAGGCCAATAGCCTGAGCACAGGGCACCTGTGAGCCAAACACCCGCCTGCTCAGCCGCGCTCCCAGCGGGTGCCGGTGTAGTGTCAGGGAGGAGCAGGCGGGCCCCGCTTTCAGGGGCCGCCCGAACTAAGCCGCGGCCTCGGGCTGGTTTCCGCAGGGCCGGAATAAGACGCAGCCGCTTCTGCTGCGTCCCCCTGGTTTCTTCCCTCCCCCGGGGGCCGGGGCGGTTCTCCTGCGCCGCCCCCCGTCTTCGCAGCCACCGGCGGCTCAGCGGCAGGGCCCTGGCTCCCCCCAAACAAGGACAGGCCCCGCCCCGCCCCGCCCCGCCCCGCCGTCCAACTCCGTAGCCAAGCGGCCCTGACATGGCCCCAGCGCAGCCAGGACAAGCTGACCTCGCCCCAGCAACCGGCATGCAACGCAGCCCCGCAAAGCACTACAGCTCCCGGCATGCAGCGCTTCGGCGTCACTCGCTGGGGTTTCAGTCCCCTCGGGCCGCGCTGCATGCTGGTAACTGTAGTCCGCCGGCTGGTAGACGCCTGTTCGACTCCGCCCCTGCTGTGACGTAGAGAACAGAGGGAGAGAGTCCCGCTGCCGCTAATTTCACTGTTGGTATGACTACTGGGGAACGGGCAGAGCCATGTTGTATAACGATGTGATTATAGAGGTCTACAAATGGCGTCGGGGAAGGGGGAGGGGTGACCCGGATGTAAATGGCGCGCGTCACAGGGCGGGAGGACACAAGACAGGAGTCCCCTGGCCGGGGCACGTGGCTGGTCACGTGATCGGGCTGGGACGCGGCGCGATGGGGACCGCTCTGGACATCAAGATCAAACGGGCCAACAAGGTCTATCTCTGCGGGGTGAGTGCGGGGCGGGGCCCGGCGCGCGGCAGCTGCCGTTGCCCGCGGTGGCTCCTGACGGGGGCTGCGGAGGCGGGGCCCGTTGTCAGTCTCGGTAACCGAGGGGGCAGGTGACCCGGACCGAGAGGGTCCCGGGGCCGCAGCCAGCCCTCCGCGCGTCTCTGGGGCATCCAGCCCCTGCTAGAGCCCGGGGTGAAGCGCGGGCCGGGGTCGGAATCAAAACTCCTCACCTGGCCCAGCTGGTTCGGGGCCACCAGGGTCCGTCCCCCCCCGGCTGGATTGAAGCCCGCGCTGAGCCTGCCCAGCTCCTCTCTCCCTGACAGCCCGCGGGGCCGGGTTCCCGGCGCTGCCTGGCCGCGGGTCTGGGGCGCCTCGGCTGGCGCCGCCTGCCCGCCCCTCGCCGGTAGAGGGGACTGACTGGTACCTTTCTCTGTATCTCCTGTGGCTGTTCCGTGCGTCTTACGAGCTGTTGGGCAAGTTCGGGATGACTGAGCACCTGCCTTCTGAGGGGGTTTTCCCCAGGGGAAATGGAATGGTTTTGCTCTCAAATTCCATTTCAGAGTGAACTGTTTGTTCGAAGTAGTGAGATTCCCTCTAGCTTATAAAGAACAAATCAAGTATAAGTGTGTGTGTGTGTGTGTATATATATATACTTGATTTGTTCTTTATAAGCTAGAGGGCAGTTCACTCTGAAATGGAATTTGTTAGCCAAATAAAGCAGCTGAATAAGGATGGACACAAGCATTACAGCTTTGAATTAGTGAATATAACCATTTAATGAGAGAGAAAAGCATTACTGGAGCAATCAGTGGACGAGAAATAGAAAATAATAATGATTACAGTGGTCTTGTTTGCACCCTATACCTAAAGGCTTATGTACACTTTCATTACACACCACATTGTTCAGGGGATTTATAACTCAGCTTTAAGAGCATTCCCTGGACTGAAGTCTGATAAAATCATCATAAAGGCCAAATATGTTGTAACTTCTTTTTCACTATATATATATATAGTGAATAAGTGTCTGGCTGTGTTTGTATGTTGCCACTTTAAAGAGATTGTTGAATACATTTCCTTTAAAGTTACCTTTAGTACACTGACTAGACAGGAGAGCTGAATGATCTGAGAACACAGTGTTGAAAGAACTATTTAGTTTGCTGAGTGCTGTACTAGAAATGCTGTCTGAATCTTTGATCAGGAATCGCTAGGAATAGTCAATAAGTTAAAAATAAATCTGTTTTAATTAATCATGGGAGTTACTTGCACAGTGTAGGTTTTCTATTCTTTTTTAGAAAGTCACTTGTCACCACACGTTACACTGACATCAGCCAGTGGTAATAATGTCTTTTATTTATAGCATCTTTCATCCCAAAGAATCCCAAAACATGCTTTCACAAACAGTACTTGTATAGGAATCCCTTCACCTACCAATGCCCATGTTGCACCCAAGTGGTGCTGTCTAGCTATATAACTGCAGGTGGCAATATTACACAATAGTTAACGTGGGGGAAACAAATTACCAAATCCAGTTGAAACTGCATTTGGATTTTAGGCAGATATATTAATGCCTTAATTAACCATTACAGCTTGCTGCATATTTTTGTCACTAATATTATAATTATATATAAAAACTATGTTAAAATAACAAGGTTGCAACGTCAAGCACTTCAAAGTTAGGCAATGACAGTATGAAGGTTCCTTGGACTAGCTGAACTGGGTACCCTTATGCATATCTATTATGATAGGCTTGCTCAGTATTGCATAGGAATTCTGTGGCAGAGCCACCAGTAGAACCCCGTTATTTTGCCTTGCATTCCAGTGTTTTAAATGCAATGGAACATCTTTTCTCTTCTTGGAACCCTCTGCCTCAATCACAGTCCATCCTGTGCACTGAAAGAGGTAACGAGCGAAGTTTATATTGGAATAGGGCCATGCTGGAGGTGGAAAGGATTGGTAGAAGAATAGAATGCTTTGACAGTTTTGGGCTCTAGAGAAGCCCATAGGCATCTGGATAAGGATGCCTTAAGTTAGAACAGCTCCACTTTGATTACTGTAACCTACTCTTCATCAGGCTCCCAGGACCCATATCAGCCCCCTGGAGTCCATACAAAATACATCTGCTAAAACTTTGCCCACCATTCTGACCAGATCAACACTCTCCTTTCCTTGCCTCTTTGATCCGTCCACTGACTTCACCATATTAAGTTCAGACTTCTTGTGATCGTCTTCAATATCCTGCCTAGCTTTGTCAGTTTCAATTTATCCATCCTCTTTTTTTTTTTTTTTATGTTGCTACTCCCCCCCGCCCCCTTCTTCACTTCACCTCCACTCCATTTGAAACACCAGCTGTGAAGTCCTGTTTGTCCACTTCTTTTACAACAATACTTTCCCCCTGCTACTGTGTATTATTACATTCCTTGAACAGGTCTGCAGAGGAATCCCCTGTCCTCATTTAAATCCCTTCTGAAGGACCACTTCTTCAACACCCACAAGAAGCTAGCTGACCAAGCCATCTATTTACATGTCATTTATTTATAAGTAAATTGCTCATTTATGTAGCGGAAAGATATTGAAGACTAGAAGGGAGGGGCATACAGATACTGGAACACAATTTGTGAGTTAGGGTAAGGGGAAGAAGAGAGGTTTGAATTCTGGAAGCAGATTGGGTGGGAGTGGAGTTCAAAAGCAAACATGTAAGTAAAGAGACTTCTGCCTGCCATCACCTTGATCACTTAACTTGTATTTTGTATTCCTTTCCCCTGCCTCCTCTCTTCATCAATATGTCTTTTCAGACTGTATGTTTTGTGAGGCAGGGACTGTCTTCCTTTGCGTTTGGAAATCACCTAACATACTTTGGGTGTCACTGCAGTCTGAATTCTAGCAAGAGAAGAAACTGATAAAATCAGTATGTTTTGCTTGTCACTTTTTCCTTGTTAGGAAGTTCTTTCTGGAGTGGTGGTCATAACGAGTAAGGATGCAGTCCAACACCAGGGTGTCTCCTTAACAATGGAAGGATCAGTAAATCTGCAGCTCAGTGCCAAAAGCGTTGGTGTGTTTGAAGCTTTCTATAACTCTGTTAAGGTAAGAAATATGTAGGTTGGTTTCTTGGGTACAAAAAGTTATGTCTGGCGTCTAAATCAAATCTCTCCTTAGTAATTCTACTTCTTTATGATTGTGTATTACTTCAGTGTATGCAGGTGGTTTAATATTTTCCCAATCACTGCCATTATCTAGCATAACACTGTGAGCTTCAGATGCAGAAAAATGTGTTAAGACATACCCAGCCTAAGTAACCACAGAGTTAAAGAAACGTTGTCAAGATATTTACTGCTGTAATGTGCCATGCTATTTGCATGTAGCTGTAACTGGTGTAAGAAGCATAGTCCTGCAAGGGGAAGATGAGTAAAACTGTTCTAGAACTGAATTCTTATAAATAAAGTGAATGTGAAGGCTCCAAGCAAAGCTGCAACGAGAAGCCTGTTTTTAGTTGTATAAAATATCTCTTCCATATGTGAGCCCTAAGCAGCTTGATAGTTTACTTTTGAGAGGAAAGAAGAAATACTTACTCTGAGGAGAAAGAAAGCTTCCGTCAGTCTATGCTGCTTCATGTGTCAGCAGAGATGAGCCAAAACCCCAGGTTTGAATAGTCCCAAACTTAGGGGATATCCATATTTTCCCCAACAAAGCATTTTCAAGCAACCAGAACAAGAATTTTAATTCCATTTCAGCTTTAGAAGTTTAACTTCAAATGTAAGTTCCTTGATTTAGACAAATGACCTTTGAACAGTAATTTGGGGGCCATCATCTTATCATTGGCATTGGGTATTGTAGCAATTTAAAACAAAAATGGTTTGAAAAGAAAAATGAAAAATCACATAGGGGAAAATAAGATATTTATTTCAATGCTCTATTTGATATTAAATTAATTTCCGTGCTCTGGGAGTGCATGTATTTATTTATTTTATTTTGCTGTTCCTACTCTGTTGTCTTTTAATTGATGGAGGCATATTTTATGAGAATTTGCATGCTTCCCCAGTCAAGTGCCAAACCATAGTTTGCCATTGTTCCAGCAAATATATTCTGATGCTAAATATATAGCTTGCCTTTGGGAGCCCTTCTTCCCTCCAAGAGCTAACCGCTCAACTGGCATATACACATACAGACTCCTTCTGCTGCTGTTAAGGTTTGTGATTTCGATAATGGAACAAGAAATGTGCTGCTTTCAAAAGTATACTAAGTTCTACTTGTTAGCTTCTTAAATGTGCTTAGCCACCAGTCTAACACACATGCAAAAAAACTGTACAGACTGTCTTGGTAAGAAACATTAAGTAAGACCACTTTTTGCCACAGTGTGAGTTTGTAGAGAATTGTTTGTATGGGACACAGACATGTGAATTTTGAGATATTTGGAAAGGCTGATAGGGTTTCATGTGACTCTGTTATTGGGCCGTTATGAAGCAGACTGCTTTATTATAAACTTCTCAACGTTTCTCTTTACAGCCTATTCAAGTTATCAACAGTACCATAGAAATGGTAAAACCAGGAAAACTTCCCAGTGGCAAAACAGAAATTCCTTTTGAGTTTCCATTGCATATGAAGGGCAACAAAGTTCTATACGAGACATATCATGGTGTGTTTGTCAATATTCAGGTGAGACGGTTTTCTGCGTAGGGAAAATGTGATGAACTTGCACTGTCTGCAGGAACTACACTCTGAGAAACTTCTCTAATTGCACTATGAGAGGAAACTATCTGGTGGCAGCATAATTGTATGTTGTCAATATTTTTGGTTTTGTCAATTTTGTACAATTATTGCAATGCTCATGTACAGGTCCCTTAAATTACAGGTCCCTTAAATTAAAATTCATGTTCCAGCTGTGGGGGATTTTTTTTAATTTACCGAAATGCTAGTAGGAAAAGATTATATATAGGTTCAAACATTTCCCAAACATCTGTCATTGTGGTATTTGGGTGCACTTTACATGGCTTAAATTGAGTCAAAAGTTTCACGATTCCGTTCAGCTCACAGCTGTTGAGACAGAACAAAAATTGTCTCATTAGCTAATTCTCCAGGATTTAGTACCTCAGAGACAGAAGACCTGTGTGAAGAGAAACACTTTTTGGATTTCTTTCCAAACATGGCATAACTGCCCTTTTAAGATCTCAAAACTTTATCAGGATCTATATATATATAGATATATATATATATAGGCTTAAAAATTATACTTGCACTTTAAAAACAAAATAGTTGGGATTGTTTTTTCCTAACTAGGAGTTTTGGCTTGTGTTCCTTGCAACAGGGGATATAAGTATCATCAGATACAGCCTTGGAAATGTAAGAAAGAAGAACAAACAAAGTTTTGGAGGGTTTTTTTGTTGTTGTTGCTGTTTTTGTTTTTTGCTTGAAATAAGTGTGTCTTAAAAACAAGGAAGGAATCTATACTGTGTTTCACCCTTTCACATCTATATTTAGTGGTGGGTTGTTTTTTTTTTAATGTAGGGCCATTTTATAAACTTAGAATCAAGAGAGATTGATTCATTGGAATTTCACCACTCTTCAGTAGGTTCAAATATGAAGTTAAGTATAATGTGACAGTGATATCCTAGCACAGGATATTGTATTGTACCTATTGTGTCTTATTAACCATAAAATGTGTACATCGCCTGAGTTAAAACTTCCTTTTAGTCTCTTCATTTCATGTAGGAGCTGTTACTAGTTTGTAGAATGGGGTCTGAGGCCTTCTCTACTCCCTGCTGGAGGCGTCAGCAATCTGATACTACCTCCATCACTCCCCAGCTCAAGGAAAACCCACTCAAGTCAGGCTACCAACAAGACTTAGTTCCCCAGAAGCCTAGAAGGGCCAGGAGGAGACACTGGCCAATCAGGAGCCAGCAGATCAGTTAAGAAAGCTTTCCTATTCCCTCACAAGGGGAGTGCTGGGTGAGATACTGAGGAGCAACTCCTCTTTCCTAGCCCAGAACGCCAGGTCCAGATCAGGGCCGTGACTTAAAGTGACCAAGCGCTTGCCTCATACATTTATTTGTTAGTTTGTTTAAAGGCAGAGACAACCAAATTCTGAATTTAACTGTTTAAAGACTGATGAGACGCTTATGGCATGGGCTACTCTGCTCTGGAATGGCTACCACATCTTGTGAACTGAGGCAGGAAGAGCTTGCAGTGCCATGCTCAGCCAGCAGGGAATGCAATGGAGCAGCTACACCTGTGGCAGTTTCTTTTGTACATTTATAATATTTTCTAATTCTTATTTTATTACGTGGTAACTTGTAGCTCCCATTTTATGCACCGTCTGTAATGTAAGCACACTTTCTTTGGAGTAGAACAGTTAAGTATCTTTCAGTGAAACTTTGTTAACATGACAAGCTACACAAGTGTTGCCAAAATATTTTTTTAAAAATACCAAAACCGATTGACCCCTCAGATATCTGTTAGAGATAAGTACAAATTCACTCAGGACAGGGCTACACACTGTTTTGGAATCTGATATCCTATGCTCATATGTCATCAACATCCATTCCTGATTTGGTGGCAGCTTGCTACATAAGATGATGCAGTCTCTCTCCTTTCTTTCTCAGGGCCGGGCACAGTTTTTCCTAATTTATTTTTTTTGAAGAGAAGTCTCTTTTGAATCTTGGTAACTTGCAGAAATATCTTTCTGTCCCCTTTTATTTCAGACATTATATCTTATTGAGTAAACCTTACAAGAAGAGGAGGAGAAGAAGGGTGTATGCAGACTCTTACAGGAGGACTTAAAAATCCATCAATTAATTGTAATCTATAATGGCTTTTATAGTATAAGGAGTGGATGAATTACAGTATCTTGAGTATGCAACTACATGAATTTGGTTCATGAATAAGGGTTGCACCTCTGCTACCTTTAGTGCCAAATAAAACTATGGTCCTGCAATATCACAGCTGAGTTTTACACATACAAGCCACAAAATTGAAAACTATGGTCCCTTCGAAACCAAACCTCATTGCTTGTGCATATTTCCTATGACTTTATGTAGCAACAGATTGTCTGCCTAAATGTGCATACAGTGTGGTAGGTAGTTACCGTGGGAAGTACAGCTTTGCATTTTTTGATTTTTGTATTAAATGTTTTTACCATAGTGTTGCATTAATATTAGGTGGGGAGGGGGGGGTTTCTAACTGAAAAAATTTCCCCTGGCTAATGTGATGTAAGGAGATGTTTTGAAAATCTGGTCTTGAACATAAATATTTTTTGTATTAGTGGGAGACTTTCCCTCCCCCTTGAAGTTTTATCTTTATCAAGATAAAGCTCAGAGGAATCCATTAAAACAAATTACCATCAGAGAGATGCTTTGCACTAGAGGACTAGTGAAGAATCACCAAAATCTTCACACCTTCTCTCTCCCGCCCCCCCCAGCATTGCTGTGAGTATATAGTACAAAAGAAACTAATAAAAACTATTCCTTTTTATAACTGAACCAAGAGACTTGCACAGAACACTCTTGATGAAAGTGTATTTTATCAACCTCTTAAGCTGTCAAAAGTAACTTCAAAAATATTCAGAGTATAATTATAAAATGCTGCATACACAGAAGGGCCTCATACACAGATAGCATGTCCCAGATAAGACAGGTTTAATTCCAACCTATAAAGTACTGATGAGATGACAGCTAGAATACTGCATTCCATAATGGGCACCTTGGTCCATTAAAAGATGGTTATGATTGTAACAAAAACTAGAGACAAAGGGACTGGCTTTGAGGACCATTTTTAGGTGGGGGGGAGATACCTTAGGCTCTCAATCCTGCAGCTGGATCCATGTGGGCAGAGTTCCGTTGACTCCAAGGAACATCCATACAGGCGTAAGTATCCACCCACATGGACTCACCTGCAGCTTGTGGGGTGTAAGTATCAAGGAAGGGGAGGCACTGTTTAGAGTTATCCAAGGAATACAATTTAAGAGTAAAGAGATTTTTAATATCAAGGAATAACTTCCTAACAGTGATGTCTGCTAAAGTGTGAAGTAATCTCCTAAAGGAAGGAAGCACAATTGCTTGAATTATTGAATCACTTAAAACTAGACTGGGAAAAACACTAAAAAATATAGAAAGGGAACAATTCTGCTTTGGCAAGGGAATATTCTAGGAGTGACCAAGTCACATCTCTTTCATCTCTAATTTTTGGCCCAAATCCTGGATTCAGTTAAGTTAATGGGCATATTATCCACTGACTTCAGTGCGGGCAATATCTGGCCTCCTATTTTAAACTTCTTCAGGCATGGCCCATATTTTCTTGAGGGGTGGGAGAAAGTGTTGAGCACTGAGCATGCTTTTGGTACTTAAATTATTTTTCACACCAGACTCTTCTGATGATCCCAGGTGTCTGAAAGTGGAACCTTCCCAGTTCTTTTTCTGACTCTTTTTACGCACATATTGATAAAAGCTGAAAGGTCATTTGACTCCGCAGACTATCCTATCTCTTTTCCATCATGTTATTTCTACTGTTATGATCATGCATATTATCAGGATTTTCCATCATAAGTATAATTGCTGTATCTGTTCATTATGAATCCTGTAGATTCATGCAAATAGCTTCTCATTCAGCTGCAGCAGCTGCTTTAAGGTAATATTCTGGTTTTTTGTAATTTGTTTTTCTAACTTTCTGGCAGTAGGATACTAAATCTTTCATTAAGCATTTTAAATTCAAGAGTTACTTACCAGAAAAACCAGACAAGAGACTTTTATGTCATGAGACAACACCTATTTGTAAAAAGCCTTGGATGGAAATATGATAAGTGCCAGAATAAAACTCATTCTAGTCTGTCTTGTGCATGCACATGCATATTTTAGATATTTTCCCCCTTTGCAGAGCAAACTTAGTGTGATCTTGTACATCAGACTTTTCAACATAGCCAAGCTGTGATCATCCTTCCATTTTCTGCTTGAAATACCCTATCTGAAGAGCCATCACTCCATTTTCAATGGTAACCTTGCCAAAGGTTCATTTATATTGAGAAAGCAGCCATAAAAGGAGTTTATCCTTTCTCCCAACAACATAGAGACCTCTTTTCTCTCTGTACTTTGCAGAGCTGAGGATCTTATTCTCTTAAATTATTTAATTATTATTTAATTGTCCTGTTACTGATAGGGCTAAAGGAAAATACCTGATATTTTAAAAACCAATTAATGTATTTACAGATTGGCATTATGGATGAGCTATCGGTTTTTCTTTTTAAGAGGAGGAAAATTCCTTTTTCTACAGATTATCTAAATCAGTTCTCTCATATTGAACTTCAGGCTCTGGATTCCCTACATTTACTCTGGGCTTCTTCACAGTAGGTCCCTCTACCCTTCAAAAATAAAACGCATGTGTAATTGTTAGCCATGCCAGTCAACGGCAGATGTTGACGATATTACTTAAACTATGTGCCTTTGCATATGGCTAGTTTGTTTCTAAATTTTATATCCTGTTGACAGCCCTTATGGTGAAAGGCTCCCTTTTCTTAATGTTGATGTTTCCCTTACCTAGTCCTAGCCTTGGCTTTCTTTCTAATGTAACATCTGTTGTCTGCAAAAAATGTGCCAAAACAGTTCCAGCCTACAAGTTGAGTTGCTTTCTGTAATCCAGATATTTTGTTTATAATCAGTACTGATTGTCTAGTAAGGTATGATTTTATTGGTATATATGTTACCTTTGGCCATTCTCCTATCACTTACCCAGTTATCCATCCCCCCCCCCACCCCCTCCAAATTAAGACTTAATAAAAAGATCCAGGCCAGGCCTATCATTAGCTTGTCACCAGGCTTTCAGTCTCATTGTTTCCTGCTCTGCTGTACCACCCCACAAATAAAATGAAATCTGACTTCCAAGAACAGTTTGTATAGAACACACTAATATCTGTTAAAATGGATGCGCAGAGGAGATTTGATCCAATGTCTAGGTTGTAGGTAAGAAGCTATGTGCTGCTTAAAAGTATTTCAGTGCTTTAAAAAAAAAAATCAAATGAAAACAGTTTATAAACAAACCAGAAAGTGGTTAACATGTTTTTATTGTCCAAATTGCGAGGTAAAGTAAACATAAATTGTGAACAGTATCTAACTTTTTTAATTCTCATTTAGAATAATCAAAGATTTCATTAGTAGAAACATCCATCAAAGATTTTTTTTTTTTTTTTTTTTTTTTATAACTCCAACAGATGACCTGAGTTGTTGTTCCAGTGGTTAGGGATTTGAGAGATGAGGGTTCAATTCTCTGCTCTGCTACAGACTTCTTATGTGACCTTGGCACTTAGAATCTCTGTGCCTTAGTTCCCCACCTGGAAAATGCTACTTTCCTATCTCACAGGAGTGTTGTGAGGATAAAAAAATACACTAAAGATGATGAGGTGCTTGATTGTACTGGGCTCATACAGGTACCTTAGATCAGTGATTCTCAACTGGTGGATTTCATCCCCCAAGTAGGTCAGGAAAGGGAATGGAGGGGGGCACTTTTTTAACAAAAAGTGTTAAATTTTTATTACAATCCAAAGAAAATGTGCACCCTGCACACCCTTACTGGTCAAGTATTATGTCAGCCTCTCAAAATGCACACAGATTATATAGACTTCGTATTGTTACCAGTGGTACTTTTCTTACATTTAAAGTACATGTAAGAGTTATGAAAATTTTTGGTTTTGAATGAGTTGCTAACTTGCAAAGGGTGAGAAACAATGCGTTAAGTAGATATGTGCTAACTGGAACTTGTAATATTCCTATAGAACCCTGGACATAACATCTGTTGATTAGTATTAGTACTACAGTCTTTTAGGCAGTTTCCTCATTAATATAGCAGACAGGTTTTGGTGCGTATTCTGCTAATAATGATTGGACTAAACAAATACGTAAAGACTATTCTTCAGCTGGGAGTAGCTACCATTACTCTGTATTCATTTTTCTTTTACTAGTAAACAAAATCGATTGTAAATTGTGCTGGGTAGGGAACATATCTTTCTATTATGTGATTAGCATTGAGAGCAATCAGGCCTGGTCCTGAGTGAGGTCTCTGAGCATTATTGCTGTACAGATATTCAATTATTACACTTTAAGGTTCAGTTTATAAAGAGCTGATAAATGATTAATAGATGTTATAGGGTTGTTAGATACATGAGTATTATATGATATAGATGGTTATAAGCAACCTGTTGGACTCTACAGCATCTATAACCATTGATTAACAATTTATTAAAGAATATATAAGTTGCCTACTGACTTTTAATAAACCACTTATAAATGGAATGTTAATATAAATAGCCAGTGACACTTTGTGTTTCTAGAATGATTTCTCTCTAAGTCCATGCTGGAGATGGAAGAAAGCTTTGATAAGACTCTTTTATCCCCCAATCTTTCTCACAGTATACCCTTCGGTGTGATATGCGACGTTCTCTACTGGCCAAGGACCTGACTAAGACTTGTGAATTCATTGTCCACTCACCAGTAAGTTGGAATATAGAGATTTTCATCTCTGCAGTTTTGTTCTGTTTAGCAACGTTTGGTGCCCAGTCTTGTATGGTGATGTTCACAAGATGTAATGCTGTAACTCCTATATTAACAAGGCATATATTAACAAGGCATATAACAAGGTGGCGGTGGGGGGGGAGAGGGACGGTTGGTGTCATGCTTTCTTTTGTGTTTTGAAGTTAGCAGTATTCAGGCTTCAAGCATTTCTGTTACTACACCTCTACCTCAATATAATGCTGTCCTCTGGAGCCAAAAAAAATCTTACTGTGTTACAGGTGAAACCGCATTATATCGAACTTGCTTTGATTCACCGGAGTGCGCAGCGCCCCTCCCCTCCCCCCGAGCACTGCTTTACCGTGTTATATCCGAATTCGTGTTATATCGGGTCACGTTATATAGGAGTAGAGGTGTATTTGTATTACTGTGGCACCTAGCAGCCGAGACATGAACTAGGACCTCATTGTGCTATAATTTACATAACCTTTCCACCTTAACTTATTTTAAAGGTGCTCTTTTAACTGACACAAATATGTTTGAGATGATGAGCTTGCTATGTTGTGAAAACCACCTGTTTTCCCCCTGAGTCCTCCCCTTCCTGTTCCCTGCTTGTTCCCTTCATGTCCTAGATACGTACTGGTCTACTCAGTATCTAGATACTATGGTGATGTGTGCTCCCATAAGTATCTTTTGGATGGCCTGATCTCTCTCTCTCTCTCTCTCCTCCCCCTCCCCCAGGTGCTAAGCTTCCAGAGCTCCCATTGGAGATTGAGAGCTTTGGGTGCTCAGCATCTATGAAGGGAAGATATCAAGCCTCTTGTATTCAAATGCGTAAATTATTGATTTAGGTCCCTTACTCTAGGTGTGGAAATAGGACTGCATCTAGTTGGAGACAAGTTTACAGCCTCTTAGAGTATGTCTACACTGCAATTAGACACCTGTGGCTGGTTTGTGTCAGCTGACTTGGGCTTGGGGTAAGGCGCTGTTTAATTGCAGTGTGGACACTTGGGCTGGAGCCCGAACCCTGGGGAGGGGGGGGGGGTCTCAGAGCCGAATGTCTACACCTCAATTAGCCTCTTAGCCCACATTCCACAAGCTTGAGTCAGCTGACTCCGGCCAGCCGTGGATTTTTAATTGCAACGTAGACATACCTATAGGGACTACATAAGGCTGGTGTCCTAAACAAGTTGTTCTCATCAAGTTGTTCATAGATAGTGGTGGGCTCAGAAATGACCATTGTAATTAATGCCTTGATTCTGCAATTAGTTCTATGCAAGTGGACCCTTGCACCTGTGTGGAATTTATTGCAGAATCAAGGCCACGTTTTTAGCTGTATGGCATGAACTGCTTTTGCCTTTCATCATGAACATGTTCAGTAAAATGGGTGCAACTGTGATTTGTATTGATTATAGATGTGTGCAGAGCACATGTATAAGCAATATAATCTGCGCAAACTTAACAAGCAAAATACATTTGCTTCCACCCAAAATTTGCTAGAATACACATGATGCTTAGCTCCTGTAAGGAGCTCTTTAAGAAGAGTGCTAATATACTTAACGATGTTTTGTTCTCCTCGTCATCAGTGATGAAAATTAATACAGTAGAACTTCAATAATGTGCACAAAAATTGCTCATGTCAGCAAAGATTTAATAGCAAGACACTGCAGAGATCTTGTTCCTACATTTTGTAAAATGAAAAATTGTACTATGCTACATTAACTAGTACATTATGAAGTATTATAAATAAGCCACAGTTATCAAAATAATGAGCAGCTTACATATTACGCAGTATTCTTGCTTTATTTCTTTTTCAGAAATAGCACCCATTAGTTCACAAAATTCAGTAATTCACCATGAGTCTCCCAGTCAGTGTGAATTAATGAGGTTCTACTGTACATATAATTCTCACTGTCAGTACACAATATTATTTCCCTTAACCTTCTTTCCTTTGCCAGAATTTGTCAACTGTATTTTCCCATAACTGAGAATATGTGTTTGTTTATGGCTGGCAGTTTCCCAGTTTTGCAGTTGTACACAAGAAACTACTATGGACACAAAGTAATGGAGAGTAAAACAACTGCAAAGTTCAAGTTGGGTCTTCTGATGATGATAAAGCACTGCACCAACTTTCAACAGTGCACAGCTGGGACCCTCATCACTGATTGGCACACAAAAAATCCTTACACTTATTTTAAACGGAAGCTTTGCTGAAATGTGAATGGAGCTGAACAAAGATAAGGCACCTCGTTGGGATGAGGGTGAAGAGAGGCAGTTAACTGAAGATTAAAATGACAATTATGTTGTCCTTTCTGTGCGAAGTGCCAGACTGCCATTTCAGCAGCAGTTCAGGGCCTTTTAAGTCGCTTTAAACTTACTTTCTACCATAAAAGCTAAACTAAGAGGTTTTTAAATATTCCAAATATAGATTTAAAAAAAAAAAAAAGATAACATAGGTCCTTAGCTGGCAAAATCAGTGGAACAACACTGAATTACACCAGCTGAGTATCTGACCCAGTAAGTTGAAAACAGCTACTGGGCCATAACCTGCATCTGAAAGAGCTCTCGCTGGGTGGTGGTAGGGAGTTCAAATAGTGCAGGGAGGGCACTTCAGATAGAGAGGGTTAGAAAAACAATCAATATGTTCAGGATAATAGAGAAAGTGCATATATAACTTTCCCTACTATTTTCTCAAATCTGCTTACTAGGAGGGCTGAGTGCTACTGAAAGGACACATTGAATCAGACCTCACAAAACTTTAATAATAAAAAAAAAAAAAAACAAACACTGATATGTAAAATCAAGAGCCCTACTTTAACAGCATGGCAAGGTGTGCATTAGTAGGCTATTGGTTTAGAGCACTTAACCTTGTGACTCGCAACACAACATGCCCAGGGCAGGCATCAGTAGCCTAGTAATGCACATCCTGTCATGTAATTCACCATGAATAATTCGTCATGCATTCGACAAAGTGGGCATTCACCCACAAAAGCTTATGCTCCAATACATTTGTTAGTCTTAAAGGTGCCACAGGACTCTCTGTTGCTTTTTACAGATCCAGACTAACACGGCTACCCCTCTGATACTTGACATCGTGTCGTGGTTTATTGCAGTAATAGCAAGGATAGTTCTGGATATCCAGGAATTAGAATGTCAAAATGTGGTTATTTTGTAACACCTGGTGACTTGTATTTGGTCCAAGTCATGATCATGTCCTGTTTTCTTGCAACATCTAATAGACTTTACATGAAATGGGTCAATTTCTTATTAAAAGAATTACACCTAGTTGTCTAAAGACTAGTTCAAAGTTAGACATTGTAAAGTGTAAAGTGATTAGGTCAGCTCCTAAACCGGTCTTGCAAGTAATGGCACAAGAAAAGGGATTCTTTTCATGATTTGATGTGTGTACATTATCATGTAAACACTATATACTGAGTATCCAATATCAATACTACCTTTTCATTACATTACAGCCTCAGAAAGGGAAGTTGATGCCAAGCCCAGTGGACTTCACAATTACACCTGAAACCTTACAGAATGTTAAAGAGGTAAACATTTTGTTTTTAAAAAATGCCTTAAGTGGTGTTGAGTGACTCTCTTGTCTCTAGTGTGAACTGGTGTGAGGAGTGAGATAAGTGGCTACTATTAGATTCTGCTCCACAGCTAGTCATAGTTCTTCCTCTCCTCTTTTGCCAGTTTTGATTCCTGACATGCTAAGCAACAGTTTAATGGACAGCCGTGCTACTTGTTCTTTTGTGTTGATGCTGTGTTGTTAAGAGTTTTCCTCAGTAATGGCTACGCGTTATTTTTTTTTATATTTTCCTTACTGGGAACCAACCAAGTCAGTGGAATATGGCAGCCAAGAGCTCCCACTGACTTCAGATGAGGCTGTGAGTACTCAGCACTTCTGTAAATCAGACCCCAGCATCTCAAGCTGGGCACCGGAAAATGAGGAACACACAATTAATCCCTTTTGGCTTAAATGACTTGCCCAGTAGCTATATGGTGACAGAGGCAGGGATAGTAATCAGTTCTCAGGGCAGCATTCAACTGCCTTAGCACTGAGACCCTCCTTTCTCTCCCCGCAATCCCCTGCCTCATTCACTAAACACCTTCCAACTGCCACAAAAAAATAAAGCAAGGGTCCTACAGGCAACAGCCTCCTTCACTCAAGATCCTGATTGATCCCCAATCCACAGTCCATCCTGTGCAGGGACCTAGTGGGGGAAAAAAGGGTTACCATGTAATTAGAGACTGTATCACAATGCATGCGCTCAAGGGTGCTCCATTAACATTGCACAGGCAAGTTTGATCCTGGCATTTTCTAACTTTTGAGGGGCCTGACTTTGCAACCTTAATAATGTTCTTTTAATGTAGGGTTTTTATGTACTTCAGTAATTCTTATGCTGCTTCTTTCCACAAAGGGTGGTTTTGCCTACTTAGCATTCGCTGTGCTCTTTATGATTAGTCATGTGACTTTTTTTTCCCACCCTACATTTAGAGAGCCTCGCTCCCAAAATTTTTCATCAAAGGTCATCTCAACTCGACTAACTGCATCATTACACAACCACTAACAGGGGAGTTGGTGGTGGAGAATGCAGAAGCTGCAGTCAAAAGTATTGAGCTACAGTTAGTACGTGTGGAAACTTGTGGTAGGTTGTTTCATGTAAATTAAAATCTGAATATACCACACGGGTTATCTGAATATTTATATTCTAAATGGACATAGCATACTTGTCTAAAGCAGTAGTAGAAATCATTTGCAAAAGTTACTTTTTTGTATATCAAAAGTATCAATTTATAGGGTGTTCAGATGTAATTTTTAAACAGTCATAAAGTCAAAGCTCTAATGGGTAAAAGGGAGGGTGTTTGTTTTTTGGCTAATGCCTCCAGCCTTTGAATTATGTTCGGTAACTTTCTAGTAGAATTAGTGCTACTTTTTTTCCCTTCACCCTAATACTTGTTTTCTCCAGGTTGTGCTGAAGGTTATGCTAGAGATGCTACAGAGATTCAGAATATTCAGATTGCTGATGGGGATGTCTGCAGAAGCTTGTCTATTCCAATATACATGATATTTCCCAGGCTGTTCACCTGCCCTACACTGGAAACTACAAATTTCAAAGTTGGTACGGACCCAGATATTTCTGAAATATTGGTACCTTCAGAATCCATGTGAAACAAGCTGCTAGTTTCAGTTCAGTTTCTAGTGGGCAAGGGGCCACAATACAAACTACCACCACTGGCACTAATGAGCAGCTTTGCAAGGGAGGCCAAGGAGACCTTCTTACCAACAGAGGTGGTTCCATACCAGGGTTGAAGTATATTACCAGAGTAATGTGGGGAAATCAGCACTACCATTCTTTGAACAGTACCTGTTGTGGATAAAGAGGACTCAGGCTCCAGGTCTGTCAGTCCACTAGCTTTAGGGAATACTAAATATACCAAGAAATTTGTCTCATTAAAAACCTCTATACCATGCCTTTAGCTATAACCTTCTCCATTCAAACTAAGTTCTCTGTCTAGTATATTCTGTCTTCTTACTCTTAGTGGTTTCGTAAGTGGTCTAAACTAGAACTAAACTAGTTCTGACCAGGAAAATTATCTGGGAGAATCAGTTTTAATGGCAAAGATCTGTTTCCGGTAGGGATTAAATATGCTGAACACCTACAGCTCTCAAGAGCAGCAGGAAATTCTGAGGGTAAAATGCTGAAAAGCGATGCTTTCCTTCGATTATCCCTTTCTGTCATCACTGACACACCCGCCATTCTCCCAGTCACTCAGGCCTGGAAGTTGGAGGTTGTCTGTGACTCCATCTATTGACTCACAGCCAGGCCATATCCAAATCTGTCGACGACTTCTTCCATAGTGTTGCCAAGATTGTTTCTTCATCAATGCACACCACAAAAACTCTTGTCTAGGCCCTTTTCTCCCCTCCTGAATATTACAGTTGCCTCCCTCCTTCCTAACAACCTCATCAAACTTTCCACTTAAGGACATTCAAAATGTTTCTGCTAAAATCATCTTCATAATCCATAGTTCTAACTAAGTTTCCTTCTTCTGAATCTATCCCCTATATCGCTTCTCCTTTTCCACTACATAAAGCTTTTTGTGCTTGCGTTTAGGACCCTCCACAACTTAGCTCCTTCCTAATTTTGTATCTTAGTATCATCCCCAACTACATCTCCTCTGCTTCACCAACTTTGATCATCCATTTTTGTGCTTTTGTATGTGCTCTTTTATATGTGCAATGCCCTCCAATGGATTTGTTTAGAGAACCACTACCCTAAACTCCTTCAAATTACTCTTCAAGATCTACTTCTTACTATGATGCCAACAGTAAATTACTAGCTAATAATGGCTAGACAGGTGGCTACCACTAATGCAGTTAGTCAAATCTTTTATGGAGCTATGTATATGTTGACACATAGGCTGGAGAAATTGGTCATTTTTTTTAGTGTCCTGTTGTTTTCTACAGTGTTGAATCATCTAGCACAGATAATCCTAGAACACTAAAAACAGCTTGAAAGTTTTATCTAAGGTGAAGGAAGCTGAGAGCAGGAGCCCCAGAATTATCATGGTTTCTACTGTACAATTTGAGTTAATACCAGAGGTCTCTTTTTTTCCCCTAGAGTTCGAAGTTAACATTGTTGTCCTCCTGCATGATGATCACCTCATCACAGAAAATTTCCCACTGAAGCTCTGCAGGGTGTGAATATCCAGGAGAATTGCTAATGGAGGAACAAAGAAATTCTTCAGTTACCAAATGGAAATTCAGTTCATATCTTCAAACTTATTTTAATTGAAGGACTAAAACATTTGCTCATCCCACTATTGATCCCTGTGTTGGAAGGGAGTGCAGTTCTCTGTAACTCTTACCAAACACTTTGTCTATCTTCTGATATTATTAGTGAATGTGCTTTTCTGCTGAGATTCCTGCCAGGTATCTCTTTGAATTCAACAGCCATGCCTCCCTTTCTCTATTTTTTTTCTTAAGAACCCTTAAGGGATGTTTTTTGCACATTCCTGTCGTGCACAACACACAGTAAGTTTCTATGATTAATTGATAATTTAACACTTGTGCTAACTCTTTAAATGTTTCCTTTATAAGGATCCTTGTATCTAAACAGCTAACAGGCCCTGCTATGTATTGGTCCTTGAAGGAGAGACTGAGAGATTAGATGTTTCCTAAGCTACCTCATCATATGGATGCTAGGAGACCTAATGTTCAGGAAATGTTTTGAGACCATTGAATGGTGCTACAGAATTGCAACACAGTTATTGGAGCAGCATCACACAAAGAATATGAAGTGAAAGGAAACTAAGTATGTTTCAGTTAGATTGGGAAATGAATCCATTAATCAGGGGAACAACCTCAGAGTTAAAGCTTTTTATTGTAACAAAGTTGATACAACTATCACACTCTAGTTAGCTTGGTCAGTTACTTGCATAAGTTCTACTGCAGTGAGAGGACCAAACTGTCAAAAGAGGTTCTAGCTTGCAGTTGTGCCAGACCTCTTGCTCTTGATTAGCCAGTCCATGTTAATTTCTTTTCGCCCCTACTACTGAGTTCTTTACCTACAATCTAGTTGTGGTGCGAAAATGTGGGTCCTTACTTTGCTCTTGTGGCATCATATGAAAGCTGCTGTCAGTATGCTCGGCTGCTACATTGTAGACTAGCTCTTTCCCGTGCCGGACTTTATTGCAAGGTAGAATACTTTACTAAAGACTGCATAAACATATTTATGTTTTGGCCACCCCAATTAACCTTTTGCCTGCAATATGGTATTATGTGCAGGGCCAGCTCCAGGCACCAGCTTAACAAGCAGGTGCTTGGGGCGGCCAAGGGAGAGGGGCGGCACCTGCGGCAATTCGGGGGCAGCAGGTCCCTCACTCCCTCTAGGAGCGAAGGACCTGCCACTGAACTGCCGCCACCGATCGCGGCTTTTTTTTTTTTTTTTGCTTGGGGCGGCAGAAATGCTGGAGCCAGCCCTGATTATGTGGGTAATTATCTGAGCCGGTTACTAGCTGCTTCCCCTTTCATTGGAAGGTTTAGTTGACATTTGCTGAACATGTCAAGATGTAACTATGGTAGGGGGCATGGGGAAGGGGAAATGTGCCAGGCAGAAATGAAATTTAAAAAAAAAAAAAAAATTTTACTATTTGCTGATAAAAGCCTTCCATTGCACTGTTTTGTTTTGTTTTGAAGTTAGCACATCTTTATTGGGTAGACATGCTTAAACTGCCACAGCAGGAACTAAACCAGGAGACTCTTGTTTTGGGGAGGTGGTGTAGGGTGGAAGAATTGTGTTTTTGATAATGTAAGAAAAAGTATGTATAAAGGCAAAGTGTGCTTTTTCTGAATGTACATTTGCAAATGAAACCATCTGGGGAGGGGGAAGGAGGAAGAGGCACTGCAAAACAAAATGAGCAGATGCCTAAAACGTTAACTCAATCTTGAAGTAAAGACACTTGACAAAACATCTGATTCTGGCTTTACCCCTCCCTTCATCCAACAGAAAAATACAAAGTTTTCCAGCTGGCTATTCGGGCCTCTGGTGTGGCTAACGGCAATATCCTTGTTCAGCAATTTCCATATTTTAAGGAATAAAAACCTGAAGTTCTAAAAATCTAGTTTAACAATTTGCAGTATCAGCACAACATGTTGGCATTAAATAATTACAAAATCCTCTCCTCAGCCACTGCAAAAATAATGTTTGCATGTGATCTGGAAATATTATCACAGGATCATTTGGGGGAAAATGAAGTCTGTGACTTTCAAACAGGCACGATGATACTAGACTGCCAGCTATTGGCCAATACCAAAATAGCTATGTGAATTTACAGATGTTTAGGGGTCTTTTGTAAGCATGTAATGAACATCTAATGGAAACAATGTATAAATAACACTGCTGTGAATCCTGCATTTAGTTTAGGGAGTACCAGCATTGTATCCTTGCATTGTCACAGCAGGAACAGTTGACCTACACCCTCCAGCACAGGACTACGCCAACCTAGATCATCCCACTGAAGTTCTTGTTCACATGTGACACCTACTGGAGTGTGTGAGACAAACTATGAAGATTATTCTGGATCTGCTGGAGAGGAGGGCACGTTAAAGCTCCCAGCTAATCTTGCTACATGGATGATACCCTTTCAGCTAGTAATATCAATGTAATGGAAGGAACACTATTTATTTTCCTTAGGGAATAGAGAGCACATGAGTCCTTCCCTTCCATTTACTAAGCCATTTGGCTGAAAAGATGCAGGGTGAGGGAAAAAGATTGTCCTCCAAAAACTAAGCTATGGTTAGCAGGAAGTCATGTATATAACCTTCCTTGTGTTTCACTGTACATCTGTTTCTTTATTGTTCAGGTATGAAGGACTCTAGCTTGGTTCTTTGAACACAGTGGTCCAGTTATTTTGTACTGTTTACAGCATAAACAATACATTTTTTGCCCTCATCTTGAGAGTGGGGAGATAGTAATTAGTGAGCCCCAGAACCTTAAAAAAAAAAAAAAAAAACTGGTAATTTAAGACATTGTTTTTCTGCTCTGCAGAATTAGGGATTGGTGGAAGCCCAAAGACTCATCTGTACTCTATTTACATTTTTCATAGTCTCTTTTCACCACCACCGAGAGGTTTGGGGCTTTTTGACAGACTAATCTTTACCATGAATTGAAGTTGATGACTCTGCTCATCTATACTCAGATGTTAGCAGAGCTGGTCAAATTCCAAGGCACAACTTAAAATGTGACCTGCTATAGCAGGGGTCGGCAACCTTTCAGAAGTGGTGGGCCGAGTTTTCATTTATTCACTCTAAGGTTTCGTGTGCGGGTAATACATTAACATTTTAGAAGGTCTCTTTCTATAAGTCTATAATATGTAACTAAACTATTGTTTTATGTAAAATAAATAAGATTTTTAAAATGTTTAAGAAGCCAGGACCCGAGCAGTGTGAGTGCCACTGAAAATCAGATAGGTTGCCTACCCCTGTGCCATAGAGTGACAGTTTCTTTACTTCTAGCAGCATTAAAACTGGAAAGTAAGAAGCATCCAGAAAAGGCTGTGACTTCTTGACTTTTTCCTCAGCCCTCAATCTTCTATTAATTCAAAGCCCTTCAGCAGTATCCCATAGGTCAAATTTGAAAGACCCCAAAACTGTCTGATCTCACTGAAACAACTATGATCTAGTGCTTAAGGCACAACCATTAATCCTGAATAGCTTAAACAAATCTCTTTATTTCACACCATTAGGGGAATATCATTAAATCACAATCTAACTAGTTTTATTATCCTTTTCTAAATTTTGTTGAACATAATCAGTTTTCTAGACTATGGCCCTTCATATTAGTTCATGACCATTAAGTCTGCATCCATGGAGTTTTTTCCTGCTCATTTCAGGAGTGGTAGCTATTGCTTGCAGTGAACTAATTTTTTGTTCATATAACCTATCTGCAGGGCCGGCACCAGGCAACCAAGCACATGCCTGGGGCGGCGGGGGGAGCGCGGCACGGCATTCCGCGGGGGGGGCGCGCTCTGGCGGTGTGGCGCTTTGCGGGGGGGCGGCGTGGGGCACGGCGGTCGGGGGGGGGGGCGGGGGGCGGCGCTTTTTTTTGCTGCTTGGGGCAGCAAAAAAGTTAGAGCCGGCCTTGCCTATCTGAATTCTGAAGCAGTTTGGACTTTTAAAGTGAGCTACTGGTGGTAATCATTCAAACTTCCCCTTTAAAGCTGGAAATTATATGTGAAGTAGCGTTTTCCCTTTCAAGTCTGTGGACTGGTCTAGATCTGCATAGCTACATCTCTTGAGGGTGTGAAAAAAAACACACCCCTGAGTGATGTATTTAAGCTGACTTACCTGCAGGTGTAGACAGCATTAGGTCGATGGAAGAGTTCTCCCATCAGCCTACTACTGCCTCTCTGGGAGGTGGATTTCCTACACTGACAGCAGAACGCTTCCTGTCAGCATAGGGAGCATCTTCAGTGAAGTGCTATAGTAGTGCAGCTGCACCGCTGAAGTGTTTCAAGTGTAGGCAAGCCCTCAGGTAGGGGGATTACCTAGGCTGCCAGGAAACCCCTGCCTGTCAGCATAGGTAGTGTCTGAAGAGCTACACTGAAGAGCTACTGCGGGGCAGGTGCACTGCTGTAACATTTTAAGGATAGATGAGCCCTGTGTAGCTAGGTCTGTCACACTTTTCTAAGAGCAAGGAAATCTCTAACTGTACTAGTTAGAAAGCTCATACTTAAAACTAAAGAGGGTGGGATCTCTAATCAGCAATCCACCCTCAAAAATACTTCAGACTGTAGCAAGGGAGAGGGGCCATAGTAAATGTTTAGTGCATGTGAACACCCAGCTAGCTCTTTGATGCTCGTTTTGAAGTTTCCAAATAGAAGACAGTCCTATCTAGCTGACTTCTTCAAGTAAGCGAGATTCAGGACCTAGCATGGAGCAGTTTTCAAAGTTTTTTGTTTTTTTAGTTCTGGACTACACTGCTAGAATACACTTCTGCACCAAGAGGTGAAGTCTGCTGCAGCAGAACTGCAGAATGCATGGAGTCCTTGCTGTAGTGAAGTCTTAGATACTATTGTGACAAGTGCTTTTTAAAAATGTGTATGAATGAATGCACTTGCCTTAGTCACTGAAGGACTGCACTGCTGGCCATGCCCAAATGCAAAACCAGTAGTTCACAGATTCATATCAGCTAACACTGTGGGGGAAACATAGCCTATTCTAAAGTTGTATATATTGAAAGTAGGGTAGATGCTGATTGTGCAGGGGCCCTTAGGGTGAGGAGCTTCCATGTTCTTCCTGGAACCCACAGCAATGGAGAGGAGCTGGAAACACTGTCATCGCCAAGTGCTGCTTCAATTACTACTGGTCCCTCCACCTATCCAGACACCTCCCCTCCCAATAATACTAATGACCCTTCGGAGCACTCACCTCTGTCTCCAACTGCTTTTTTCTTTTTTTTTCCTTTCTGATGCTGGATTAGTCTGAGCTGGGATGGGGGCAGCTGGGAGTCTCGTTCCCAGCCTCTGGGCCAGGGGTGCAGCAGGGAGCCTCTCACAGACAAGGGTGTGGTGCTGGGGAGCAGGGCTGATGGCGCCTGACCCTTTAAGGAGGCATTGGGAGAGTGGGGAAATGGAAAAAAGTATCTTTGCCCGCTCCACATGCTGAGGAAGGAAGGAAGCCTCATAGC